TGCCAACATGACTCCAATGTAAGCGTGCTCTTCCCTTTCAGCGAATAATAAAGCAATCTGCTAAATTGCCTCCATGGTCTCAGCTGCCTTAGCATTTTCTACTCTGCCGACGTTGTAAATGAAACACTTACACCGTGTGTATGTGTGGGTGTGCGTGTATATAAGACAATATGTTCCATATCTATAAGAGCATATTTGTACAATTCTGCGAGAGTTTGCTGCATAGCCAATAATTGCATAGTTGTGTTGGCCTTTGCTCGACGTTTAAATATTCAGTAGCGATAATCGGCATGGGCGGTATGAGTAATTGCATTGCTTTACCTTTACCATTTGACTAAGAAGTGTTGCTCATTAACTTGTTATGAATCGGTAACCCAATAAGCTGATATTTTAGCGGAAATAAAAATCATTGAACACAACGCGAAATAATAGCATTCTCAACGAGACATTAACATAGTTTGAACGTAGGAAAATCAGTTTGAAACCACGCCTACTCCTAAATAACAAAATATTCTCTCACATTATAATATTATATTTAAATGAAGCCAATGAAGTTAGCAGAAGAAAACTTTGTGCAAACAAATTCGATATCTGACTATAACTTATTACTAATAAAAATGGAGGCAATTTATTCGGTATTTTGTTCGACTTTATTTTGATATATTGGTCGGTTTGTTTGATCTGATGTGATATTTTTATTTTTTTTTGTCTTGCTTTTAGTTTGGCATCGAAAAATCTGAGAATTGTCCAAGCACCCATATGTTTTATACAGTCTGATCAAATTTAAACCAGACTGGTCATTTAACGTGCGCGCGTAAATCGAATAAATAAAGCTTTTTTCCTCTAGATTGTTACAACCTTTTTTTATGTTCGTGTGCAGTTTGATCTCCATAGGTATGTCAATTAGTGTGTGGCTGTTATTTATTTAAGTTTGTTTGGCGATTTTTACAATGCCAAAAATTGAACAACAACTTTGTTTGAATTTTTGTCATCAAAAATGTTGCAGAAGTATTATGGTGAGTCTACTTTATCACGAACACAAGTATTTGAGTGGTATAAGGCATTGACAGAAGATCATGAAGTCATGGAAAATTTGCCTCATGCGAGTCGTTCATCCTCCTGAAACAGTGCTTGAAATTCGTAGTGTGGGCAACAGAAGACGATCTGTACATTTCTAATGAATCGATTCAAAGAATTTTGCCCAATGTTTTAAGTAAAAGGCGTGTCAACGCTAGACCTGCATCTTTTGGAAAATGACGAGTAAAGGTCGCAAAAGAGATGCTTGACAACGTAGCTGAAACCCTATAATCAACAATCTAGCGAATGGCGGTCCAAAAATGAACCGAAACCGAAAAACCCAAAATTCGCTGAAGGCACTGGGGTCCAAACACATCCAATACCAAGAGGCTTATAACAAGTGTATCGAAAATTTGATTAAGCTTTGGTATTGGATTCAGTATTAGATCAGGAGCCTATTTTGTGGGCGATAATAAAGATTTCTATTAAAATATGTGTTAAATAAGTTTTTTGTCGGTTCGGGTCATATTTGATGGTAAAGTGATATTCGTTACTCTAGTATAACAGTTGATGGATATATCGGCACCCAATATTGATCAACTATATGCCCAAAGATCTTCTCTAAGCCCCAATATACTCAATTTAGGGAGCTTACTTACTTAGCTTACTTTAAAAATTTAAGTGACTTAATAATATTAGCTAAACATATTTTTTGTGCAATGACGTAGTATAGCATGAGAAATTGACGAAATCGCTATAAATGCTCCAATAGCTCCGTATATCTAATATAATAATTGATACACATATTCGTATATTTACCAAAGTTGACTTCGTACGTGACATTTTAAACTACAAATGGCTGCCACTTGGCAATTTTTTCACGATTTGGATTCTTAAAAATTGCGGAAGTATCTATATTAGCCCACACCATACTTTTTTTTTTGGTAAATTTACTGCTTAAGCTGGTATTTCGGTATGTTCGTGGGCAAAGACTGGCTTATTTTGAAAGCATCCATAATTGATTTTTCCATTGGAAACGCTCAGAATTATTCTGCGAAATTCTTGCGTGAGAATAACGCGCGCACTCGAATGGACCACTTTGTGGTGTGTACAATTTATAACAGATGTCAGGTAATTTTTATTGAAAATGAAATCGTAGCGATAAATCTGTCTCAGACACAATGCCGCAGGAGCGCACAAAAAATGCGGTTTTCTATTTTATGATATTGTGGTTTTAGGATATTTGATACTCGCTTGCCTAAAAATTCATTTTAACATTTATTTTTCATGCAAACAATTCAAAAACATAAGCATATACATAGAAGGTATACACTAGGTCAATAGATACGGTGCTGGTCAAACGGTAATCCAATCAACTGCACACTCACATACCCACGCACACATGCACACCTATAATTAGTAGCATTTCCAGTGATGCTTTCGAAAAATTCCAGCTTATAACATATTGACCCAACTATGTGACACTCGTGCGTTCCCCTTATAGCGCTCATATATACACACAAATATTGACGCACGTTTAGGAGAGTTGATTTTGCAGCCGATCACGCAGTGGCTTACAGTCCATCCGGGTATTAGGTCATAGCTGAGTACCCTAAAACACGGACATGCACATAAACACTCGCATACAAAGACACAACAATTTAATTGAAAGCATAAATATTGAAAGATGCCAGATGCCACAACAACGGAATTAAAATCATTGTTAAAGCCTGAGAGAAATGAGCGTAAAAACAAAGCGACGACTGCTGAGAGCGACGCAAAGATGACAACGGACAGAGTAGAAAAATCAAACGATGCCAGGATGGCTGCGAAGACATGAAGACTGGAAAATAAATTCCATTTTAATTGAGTCTTAAAGTAGAGTGTCCATTCCCCAGCGTGTCTTGGCATTTGGCTTAGTATGCGTTTTGATTGCCATGCTTTTGCCGGCCACAGTTCCGCTGTGTATAGTGAGGTGGTTGTGGTGAGATGGTGAACAAGGGAATTTAGGGATATCCAGTTCGCCTGCCCGACAACCAAAGGCTGGTTGCCCACACCAGTTGAATGCCTGGCAATTGTCAATTGCTGTTGTTCTAGTGTTAAATTTGAGATCCTGTTGAAGTGGACAACTAACCTCTTGGTACATGCAACATGCCACATGACGTAAGATAATTCTCTGTAAATATTACATAGGACGCTGAAGCGTTTTAAGTGGTCGGCTAAAGAGCGAATAACCAATTATTTAAAATTATTTTTGTTCGTTTACTAAAAACTTGAACTCATTAAAGACCCAGCCAATGGCCTAAGTTGTAAATAGTGTAGCATATAGAATTCTTCTAGTACTGTTTATATATATATATATATATATATGCTTTCTTTTGTTTTTACATTGCAAATGACTTGTTTACAGTAGCCTTTGAGTTTTACCGACAATTGATAAGCTCTCGGCGAAAGCACTTGAAACAGTGTGAAAGAGAAGTGTGGTGACTGTTCGAAATGTTTTTTCAACAGAATTGCGCCTCACATCAAATTTGATCCGAACTCTTAAGTCAACACAAACATGCTAACGCTAAATCCAATTTATCATATACTTCTTATAAGCCTCGCCTCGGATGTCCTTTACTGCCTTCAGCGAATTTTGACTTTCTCGGTTTCGGTTCATTTTTGGAGCGACATTGCTAGACTGTTAAACAGTTTCGTACTCATATTCATAAGACCAGCTGGGTCCTCAGCTACCTTGTCCAGCATCTCTTTTGCGACCTTTACTTCTCGTTTTTGCAAAAGATTCACGTCGTTCGGTACGAGTCTAACATGGACAACCTTCATACTCAAAACATTAACCAAAATGTTTTGGATCGAGCCATAGGAGATGTTCAGATTCTTTGCTATCTCGCTGATGTTAACACAAAAATTTTCAAATACTTATTATTTAGCTTTTTTGATTTTATCGTCAGTAACAAAAGTGGATAGTGCATGCGGAAAGTTTTCGATGACTTCATAACCTTCTCTAAATGCTTTGTGTCACTCAAATACTAGTGTTCGTGATCAAGTAGCCTTAGCGATTATATTATATATTCCCTCTATATCTATACTGGGGATACTCTTCTTATACTTGATTTTTTAACAGTAGTTAATTAGAAAAAAAAGAATTGCTAAGAAATTTGCAACTCTTCAAACCAAAATTTATTTCGAGGTTAGAATTCTCCCGTACCGTACTTCGACCTGGGTAACATTGGGTACAATGGTTAGATTCAATTTAAGGAAGTTGAAAAATAGATATCATATTGAAACAAATCAGTTGAAATACGTTCTGATGCTACGCAGAAACTAACTGCGATCTGTGGTTCTCACTAACAAAAAAAAAGATTTTTCTAATTGCCTTCCCACGACAGTCAGTTATACTTAATTGAAATAAAACTTGATTTTAATCCGAAGGAATGTCAACTTGGAAGCATATTAATTGTTTTTGGGAAGTTGAATCGATGTAAAACCGGTTTTCAGTTCGATAGTGGGAACACTGATCAAATTCCGTGTTGTAAACGGAAGGTTTACCTGCAAAAGTCAATCCTGCAGAATATTACTACCGAGAGCTAAGCGTACATTTTTCTTTTCTCTTTCCTGGTTTACTACACAATTCATTTGTACAAGTCATTGCCTTCAAATGTCTTCAGGAACATTGACACTGAAAGAAGCGGCAAATTCAGTGCATTCCTTCTGTTGCTGATAAGCGAGACAATTACTTAAGACCACAAATATCATCATTATCATCATTGGTTCCATGCAAACATCACACTTCTGGTACATGACAACAAAGTCAATAGGATGTTGAGCGGACTCACTAGCTTGCTACATTGCTGATAAATATCTCTCAAAGCGAGCGGCAGACATACGCATAATGCAGCTCATAAACAGTTAACGAGTTGTAACTGCATACCAAAGGGAAAAACAACAATTAGATAAGAAATGTAATTGCACTTTACCCACGGTAATTACAGATGTACTCTATCGACGGTAGTTGGGACTGCAATTCACTGGTCTTCTGTGACTTTCTGGGGGAATAAATAGTGCTGACAGTGTTCGATTTCAGCACAGTGCAAGAGTACTTCGCATAGACTTGTAACATTGTATAGAAATTGACTACGAACTATCCGTTATGTTTAAAATTTTCACTCTACTCATCCTTTGCCTTTGGGTCTCGCAGGGTGAGGCCCACAGGCGCGTCATCATTCAGCCGGCGGCCGATTGCGATGAAACTAGTACCTATCAACTTTGCCAAGATTTCCGTGACATACGCAATCTGATTGATCCGAACACTTTGGTCTACCACATCTCTTCTGGCTATTTTAAGGACAATGAATTTCGCAAGGCCATGGACTTCATCAAAACCGACCAATTCCAATCGGTGTCACAGCAACTTGCCGATAGTTCCGCATATCAGAAACTGATTACGCGCTTCTCCGATGCTGGCGTCAGCACGGAAACAATTGCCAGTATTTCCAACATTTTCAATTGCCTGCTGATTTCCATACCCGAATATGGTGATGAGTCGGAGATTACTGAATTAGAAATGAAACCAATCGTGGTGTCCCGAACTTTGCAAGATGTCGCTCTGAATCTGGTAAACGCAATTCCACGCTCGAAGCTTCGCCAATTGATACGGCAAAAGCTGTATGAGAGTAGTGAATTCGCCAACTTTTATCGCGTCTTGCGCAGCAGCGGTTTTCGTCGCGACGTCAAGAAACTATTGGTAAGTATTCCTGCTGAGAATAAATCCTCATATACAGCTTCCTAACAATTTAATTTCAGAGTGCATACACATCAAGGTACCCGATTAACGTGTTGAAACGCAATAATATCGATTTGCAAAAATTGTTCCAATATGTAAGTAAAATCTTCGATTACGGTTCAAGTTAAGCTGCGACTTTCCGCTCATTATAAATAGATAATTTGAGTGTGCACTTTTAACTTTGACAGCGGTGCAAATAAATTGAATTGAATTTGTCCAAAAATGGCGATTTATTATTATTTTTCTATGCATTTAACTGATTAACTGAGTAATAGTATGAATCGCCCTCTTCTTTGGTATTTATCTTGGTCGTGTTGAACACTTACTAACAGTTAATTCTTTGCTGCACAGATGTTCGTAGGAGCTTTAATTTTGCTCGGAATTTGAAAATCTTGCTCATCATTTCTGCTCACAACTTTGCTGGCTCCACACTATTTGCCTGAAGCCATTCTTCTTCGAGCTGCTTCAAACGCCAAACATATTTGGCAGCCAGTTAAGTGCTTGCGGTAGTGCCTCAGGCAAAAATGTTGCCTCCCTTTCAATTCTAATTCAAAGCAAAGCAATGTAAACGATCCGAATGATATGCTTTGGCATAAGCGAATTTTTCCATCCGCCCTTCAATTAGAATGCGCTTGAAGCATTACGTAACTCCCTTGCCACCTTTGAAAGCAATACCCCAAATTCATGACCCTATTTGTATTCGATCAGTGTTTGCATTGCTTTGCATTTCATTATGCCAAGCACCGTTTCGAAAGTCGGTTGTTACCGTTGCCGCCAGAAGGTGATAGCAGTTGTGTTGCAATTTTTGCAACTTTTCGTTCTTGCACTACAATCGTATGCAATTTTGCTTGCTATCAAGGCTTGCAAATCGAAACAACACTTGCAGCGCAGGTGTGCGTGTCCTAGAACCCTTTTCAGCTAACGTAGCGCCGGGACCAAGACGCAGGCAAACCGAATGGGTAACACGGGTGCTATAACTACGATGTTGCTGTTGGTCAAAACCCACTTGCTGGCTCCTAATGCTTTCCAATTTTTGCTAACTCATCACATGCTACTGCTTGGGGATGGTTTGTGTTTTTGAGCTTTGCATTTGCATCCGTGTCTATTGTGATTGCATTTGAGTGCCATTTAAGTTGAATTAAACTCGGGCGTAAAAATAAGTGGGCGAGGTAAACAAGCGTTTAAGTTGAAATTTAATAGCGATTGCTTAAGCGAGCTGTATTTGGGGCTGAGGTAACGAAGGCGTAGAAGTGAAGTATTCCATTGAAGGATATTTTGAATATTGGTGAATTTTAGTGGTGCGTTTCTAAGATAACTATCGAGCATTTGCTCGTTTAGCGAGACTATTAGTGAGACTATTAGTGAAAACTCAACTGGTACCTGAGGTCAATTATAAATTTGACCCGGAATAGTCCATTCAAACTACGTGCGCAAACCGAACCGAATTGTTTTTTTTTCAAAATTGGTACAACATTTTTTATGTTTATATAAAATTTGATCTTCATATGATAATTAGTGGGTGTTTGATAGTTGTTTGATTAGAATGCGGAAAGTTTGTCTCGCGATTTTTACCATAAAACCAAATTGAGTAATGAGTTTAAAATGTTGGGTTTCCAATGGAATTACGACTACAGAAGACTTTGAAGAAGTGTTTTCAGGAGTTTACTTTCTCACGAACACAAGTATTTGAGGGACACAAAGCATTCGGCAACAGTCATGAAGTCATCGAAAACAAACACCAAATGAGCCGAAGCCGAGAAACTTAAATTTGCTGCAGGTGTTGACATTTTTGTATTGGCGCAGGAGCTTATTTCAAAGCTATAGATATGATGTTTACGTAACATTTTTTTTTGTCAGATGGCACACTAGAGTTAACGACATGAATGAAAGTCTGTTTGTATGTTGTATGCAGCTTAAACAAAATACGGACTATAGATTTGTCAAGTTCTTTCGAGCAAATCCATCTTAACAGCATACGGTAAGCTCAATCCATGCATACTCCGTCAACGTATTACCTTGATTCGCATGTGATCGTAGGGACCTAATTAGGCGGATCTACTTGCCTCATCTGCAATACACAATTCCTTCATCCAAAGAGAAGTGCTGGCTTCTAGCACGTAATAGGCACTTGCTCATTTGAAACAGGAGAGTAGACTTCATAAATACATTTTAAATCTGTGAGCTTTTCATGGTCTACGGCTTTGCTCAATGTAATTATTGGAATTGCCGAAAAAAAAAAATTGTTGAACTACGATATTAGAGGATGAGTGATATATGCGATATGCGATTACGGCGGCAAATTTCTACGTACTATACTACATTCTAATTCGACTAAATATTAAATGTTTTCCGCATGTGCGATTTCAATCTGGCCTAAGACATATATTTGTTAGCGGAAATGCGCTATTATTTAGAGAGATTGTCAAGCTAAAGACGTGTGTAACATATATGCCCTGTGCAGCATTACCATACGTAATCGCACATAATAATGTATGTATGTATGTGTGCAATCGTAGGCTCTTTACGCCCTGGCAATTTGCCCTACTTATTCTTATATGAAAACATATCCGGCGAGCAAAATGACAACAACAAAAATAGCAGAAATGTCGACTGAACGTGTAAATAAATGCAAAACGAATGCAAAGGAGCTCAGGAAATGAAAATATAGACAATAAAGCGAAAGTGCTTATCCGGATTTGGGCAAATAAAAACAATATGTGAGCAGAAGAGCTAATAGGCAAGGTACATAAATACATACATACGTATGGTCTGCGTTGTGCCAATGTTGAAATGATGACTGCCTCCGGGCGTCTCGACAGAAGCAGTGCAGAAGATTCAACATCTGTCGTTTAAGCAACATTTTTATATTTGAGAAAGAAATGTAAGCTACTGCGTGAGCATATATGTGTTTGCCTGTGTAGAAGGAAATATTCGATTAGCAGTTCTGCAGATGGTTTAAAGGGTAAAATAAGAATTGTAGGCGAGTGTTCCACACGTTGACGTTAAGAGTGTTTGCTAGCTGCTACTCGTTAATTATCTTTGCTAAGTAATAAAAAGAGATTATCTCTCATGAAATCATGTTTGTATAAACAATCAATATATTGTACATCCTTACTAGCATTATACGAGTATAGTAACACCCCGCAAGGAAATACTCTAATTGGTTATGCATTTCCATTGAAATCATAAGCTCCCATTCGTTCTAGTTTGAATGTAAGATTTATATTATTTAGTTTAACTGCAGAGAATCTTCAGATATTAAGATAGTCATTATATACAGACACCTCTTCGAACCTATTGTAAAGCTATATAAAGTAGCGTTTCGTTTTCATTCGTTAGACAAGACATGCGCGCAATTGAAAAAAAGGAAATTCTCAATATATTTTTGCAATAGAACTCCTTTCCTCATTTAAAACTTCACTATTCGATTATGAATTTTCATGGTAGAAAAATTAATTATTATTATTTAATTATTTAACTATATTGCAACCAAAAGAGCTCAGAGAAGTCTACGATGACTACTCCAAACTTGAGGTTTGTAGATCTCAGCTTCCGACTAACATGAAAACATATTTTTTCGAAAAAGTTTTTCCTCACGATTCTCTGTCACGAAAAATTTCTCATAAATGCGACCTTAAACTTGTGAAACCATCCGATAAACCGATTTCATAAATTGTTAATTTTTTTTGTTTCTTTTTTTTTCAATTTTTAATACAATCCGATTTGCAAGCAATCATGCACTTGTTGCGTTGTAGTGGCAGTATGTAGCCGTTGAATTTAAGTGGAATTCAATTTGTTGCGTTGTATTTTTACACTCTTTCCCAGAAATGAAGTTTTGAAATAGAATATAATTACGTTTTCCTAAAATCAGATGAGTGCTTGTTACGCTTCCGAACCAAAAAGAGTTTTTAGCATTAATTTTCGTAAAAAAAATGATAATTACTAAGGATAACATAATAACAAGGTAACCCTTAACGTTATAGTTTTATCCCACAGCTCCTATAGAATTTGCGTTCAATCATATCGTTTAAAGTTACAAAACTCTCGAAGAAGAAACGCACATGTGTGTAAGTTGTTTGAAAAATTGAATTTTGGGCGCAGCTCCAAACATTTTTAGTTGAAACTTAATACTTTCTCGAATAGTATACTGAATATTCACTATAAAATCGCCGTTAATTAGATTTACTTTGGTGTGGATACTTAGTGGTTATTAATAATTGGACAAGTGTCCTATGGCATGAATTGAATAGGTTCCCAGTTCTAATAAAAATAATGCTTATTTCATACACCAAAATTTCTATATTAAACCTATATATATGTCGTTGTACATATATATATGTATATATGTATGTCTTATATATCGGTTTGTGACAATTACAGGAGTATTTAATATTACTGAAACCGAAAAAAAAACAAAAAATATTTTAATTTTTTGTTAAAGCAGCTTACTGTGTTTAATTAAAAATTAAAGACAAATACTCGGAAATTAAATGTATTTTCAGATAGTAGCAGTCGTTATTGCCACCTCAAATAAAGAATACTAGGGATTAAGTTAACAGTTCCCACAATTACAAACATGTCACCCTATTAATTATGTTACATTTCCTCAATTATTTTAATAAAATTATGTAACCGTCTTTTAATTGATGATGATGACTATAATTAAATGCTTTTTCACAATTTATTAATATATATTTTTTTGTCCATGCGGTTTCTAAAAATACATAAGTTTCATGAATAAATTTCCCTTTTCCACTTTTTATAATTAAATTACGTAAAATAATGATTAAATTGCTGGTTCTTATAAATAATTAATGCGCAAATGTGCTAACACTTAAAACAGTTACAGTGATGAACATAAAAATTAGGAAAACAAAATCAAAATTAAAAACTCGAACTAAACACTTTCTGAAATATGTATTGGAATAGTTGAGGTTATGTCAAGTTAGACAATGCTTCGTGTATATTAGATTCTACGAATTCACTCGCGTAGCAAATTGGATAATATTTTTTTTGCTAAAAATTAAGTTTTAACGCACACATAAAGTTATCATTCATTTTCAACTATTCGAATATGTTTAATATCTACTGTGCTCAAAAGTACACCATGTGAATATTGGGGCCATATAAATAAGGCTTCCATTTGCTTTCAGTAATTTATTCATAGATTTCCTGTTGCAAACGATAATTTGGGCATTTTGTTGATTGAAGCTTCCGCTTACTATCTGAAATGGATAAGCCTTCAGTGGTGGACAGTCGTCAGTTTTTCCACACACATTGGCGCCTGTGGCTGTTGTTGGGTTGCGTACGTGAGCCAGTGCGCTACCAGTTGCTCTATAGCCTCTACCGCCCAATCGTCAATGCGCTCATAATACTCTTCTACCCGGGCACCATACTTTTAGCTCTCTACAATAGCGGCAACCTAAACGATTTCCTCCAAACGCTGCCCATTTGCGCCGCAGCTCTCGCCTGCAGCGCTAAATACATAAGCTACTATCGTAAGCTGAAGTTGGTGCGGCAAGCAGAGCAGGTCTTCAACGCTTTGGATGGAGAGGTACTATTAGAAGAGGATCGGGTGTTTTTCGCTGGCATTCACCGAGCCACTAATTTGATATTAAATACACTGTGTGGCTTGTGTGCTTTCTTCTTCGTTATTACAGTCATGGCGTCCATTGAGAACCGGGACTTGGCCATTGCCATCGAGTTGCCGTTCGATTGGCACGCGTCTACGGCGTCCTATGTTGGCGCTGTTGCATTAGACCTATTCCTTCTGGCCTGCGATCTCTTGCAGAGTCTGGTGAATGACTCCTTTCCTGCGGTTGCTTTGTGTATTCTATCGAACCACACACGTTTGCTAGGAGCTCGGCTTAGTCGGATCGGCCATACTAGTAAGGATGTGCAGGCGAATATCCGAGAGTTGCAGCACTGCATTATTGATCACCAACGTTTGTACAGGTGAGTTCATAATACATTGAGAGTAATTGAAACTCGTCTTAATTGTTTTTTTCAGATTGCTGGCAATCATTGAAGAAATCATTTCAATGCCGGTCTTTGTTCAATACGCAGTCACCGCTTTCCAGGACTGCTTCACTCTGATAACATTTATATTCTACACGAACACCATTTCCGATAAACTTCTGTATTTGACGTACTTATTGGCTCTGCAGTTGCAAATATTTCCCATCTGCTACTATGGCACGGCTTGTGCTCAGTCGATGGAGGATCTGCAGCAGAAGATTTTCGCCAGCAATTGGGTTGAACAGGATCAGGTGTACCGACGTCTGGTGACTATAATCTCTCAGTGCTCCTTAAAAAGAACAACAGCCTATGCGGCGGGGCTCATTCCCATTCACCTGGGCACATTCGTAAAAACCCTTAAAGGCGCTTATTCCTTTTACACATTTGTGAATGGTGTAAGAAAAGTGTAAAGAGGCTGTTACCACAAAATGCTCAGATTAATATCTATTTTCGTTATAATAAACGAACCGCTGATCACTTTGATGCAATCGACGACTATACGAGGAAAACAAAGTACAAAATAAAGGCTTACGATTATTGGGTTGGCAACTAAGTAATTGCGGATTTTACTCATAGATGGCTTCAGTTGAATTTTTAGGTTTGCTGGCGTAGTCCAAATGTAAAACACATTTTGTTTTTTGATACTTGGCAATTCAGCTATCAATCAGTAAAATAAAGTTTTTTGATCGGTTACGTAGTTTTCGTTTGGCGTTCGTTGAAAAATGGAAGATCAAAAGGAACATTTTCGTCAAGCTCACAAAAAGTTGCTGTTTATGGCGACGAAGCCATAAAAGAACGGCAGTGTCAAAATTGGTATGCCAAATTTCGTTCTGGTGATTTTTTACTTAAAGATGAAAAACGCTCTGGTCGTCCAGTTGAAGTTGATGACGACCTAATCAAAGCAATAATCGATTCGGATCGTCACAGTACAACACGTGAGATTGCAGCGAAGCTTGCAATGAAAATCACTTAAAACAACTTGGCTATGTTCAAAAACTCGATACATGGGTTCCTCACAATCTGAAAGAAACGCAACGCATTAACAGCTGCGATTTGCTAACGATACGTAATGAAAATTATCCATTTTTAAAACGAATGATAACTGGCGATGAAAAATGGGTTATTTACAACAATATCGAGCGGAAACGATCGTGGAGCAGGCCAGGTGAACCAGCTTAAACAACATCAAAAGCTGGTATTCATCAAAAGAAGGTTTTGTTATCAGTTTGGTGGGATTATAAAGGAATTGTCTACTTTGTAAGAGTTCACCCAACCGAACGATCAATTCTGTTGTCTACATTGAACAACTAACGAAATTAAACAATGCAGTTAAAGAAAAGCGGCCCGAATTGATAAATCGAAAAGGTGTTGTATTCCCTCATGACAATGCAAGGCCACACACATCTTTGGTCACTCGGCAAAAATTATTGGAGCTTGGTTGGGATGTTTTGCCACATCCACCATATAGTTCTGACCTTGCACCATCGGATTACTTTTTGTTTCGATCTTTACAAAACTCCTTGAATGATCATTGATCAAAATGGGCAATACATTACAGAATAAAATTATTTAGTTCCATGAAAAAATTAGCTTTAATTTTTTATTTTTAAATCCGCAATTACTTAGTTCCCAACACAATATTTCGTAAATCTTAGAATAATAATATTCGAGTTGACGTAGCTTTAAACAAATATTACAAATTATTAACATTGATATCTTTCCCTGAACACACAATAACATAAAATGATCGAAAAGTAACATATTTCAGTAATAAAATATTTTGTTGTTTAGCTAGATTTTGACATTCCCACAATACATGATACAACCATTTACATACATTCATACTTAATTACTAAAAATCTTTGCAAACTGTTGCATGTTAAAATGTATTCTTGATGGGCTATCTAGTAATTTTTAAAAGAAACTTGATAGCACCACTTTAACCCTTAAACAAGTAATTTTTTTGTTTTTGACAAGAGAGCAGTGCGCACAGATATCGAAATAGAAATGGCGAATCAAAAACAGCTATTATAAAGTCTCAATATCTAGGTCTCATCCAGTTAACGAATATATAGCTAGAAGTAAACACTGATGATCTTTATATTTACTTACTTACTTAGGAGGTCATATATATTAATATATATATTATTAAGTTTAGCCTTTTTATATATAGAACCTCTTATTAATGATAGTTAGGTGGCAAAGTAGATTGTTTTTGTCTAGTACGCTTAAGGATGGTAGATAATTCGGGACCCCATCCACATTCCAAGATGCTAAATTACATACAACGCCAAAGATCATGCGTGCCAAGTTTTGTCAAGATAGCTTAATATTTACTCGAGTTATTGGTTGTACAGACTGGTAGACAGTTCGCAGGTGAAATTTACAACCCTTCCCAAAAAATTCTTCATTACTACTGATGTCCGATTAAATATGCGCGAATTCGTGTAATTGCTTCATTAGCGGACTCACGCGACACCAATTATATAATTAAGTTATTAATTGTCTCGCCAACGCATAAGGCGCACCAATATTCAAATCCCTCTAAACTCACCTTATTGCCAACTATAAATACGAAGGAAAAAAGCTGGAAATCGTATAAACTTCCAGTTGTGTACCGTTATCCAGTGAGTTAGCTATGAGCCAACCAGTGAACAGCAACGCCTTTTTTAAAATCCACTGGTTGGGCTTTCGTATCTGCGGTGGCGACTTATCCGTGAATAAATATCGCTTGGTCTATTTGGCGTACGCACTTATGGTCACTGCGCTGGTGACTTTTTGCTATCCGCTGCATCTGGCGTTGGCGCTTTTCCGCAACGGTTCAGTAGCCGGCAATATTAAGAATCTCGCTGTGTGCGTCACCTGTATCGCCTGTAGTTTGAAATTCCTGATTTATACGCGGAAGTTGGGGATTATGCGCGAGATTGAGCAGACCTTTTCGGAACTGGATTCGCGCGTGAGCAGCGAGGTAGAACGCAAATATTTTGCTTGGATGCGCATAAGCGTAAGGAATGTCGTCTCTGTATTTCTGTGTGCCTATGCTGCGGTCGGTGTGACGGCAGAGCTGGCATTTCTCTTAAGCAAAGAGCGCAGTCTGCTATATCCGGCATGGTTTCCGCTCGATTGGCGTGCATCCACACGAAATTTCTACGTGGCAAACGTGTACCAATTCGTTGGTATTTCCTATCAGATTTTCCAAAACTTCATTAACGATACCTTTCCACCCATAACCTGTTGCCTGCTGTCGGGTCATATAAAGTTGCTCGGCATTCGTGTATCTCGTATTGGCTATGATTGTGTACGTCTGCAGGATAATGAGCGGGAGCTAGTGCGTTGCATCAAGGATCAGAAAAATCTATACAAGTGAGTCATAGAGAAAGAGTTCTTAGATTCTAGAGTTCAACTCAGTTTTAAAAAGTTTGCTTTTCCATTTCAGGCTATTCGATCTGCTGCAAGAGGTTATGTCTTGGCCGATGTTCATTCAATTCACTGTTACCGCCTTCAATATCTGCGTGGCCATGGTTGTGATGCTGTTTTACGTAGATACACCGTTCGAACGTCTATACTACTTGATATATTTCATATCCATGCCTCTGCAAATTTTTCCCATTTGCTATTATGGCAGCAGCCTTCAGCTTCTCTTCGGCCAACTACAGTACGAAGTATTTCGCTGTAATTGGACCGATCAAACTCGGCGTTTCAAGAAGCAAATGATGCTTTTCACGGAGCGCGCTTTAAAAACTACCACCGGCTTGGCCGGTGGCATGATCAAAATACATCTCGACACCTTCTTCGCCACCGTTAAGGGCGCTTATTCGCTTTTTGCTGTCATCATGAAGGTTAAGTAGGTGATCCATGAATACTGCAACTTTTTTTTTCTCGAAAGTCTAAAAAAGTGTAGAGTTTGAGTGTAGTTATTTCAAATCGCAGGAGAAACGTTTGGCAAGATTATATAAGCATTACATATTTAAATATCTTAGCAAATAGAAATAATTTAAAAGATATTATTGTTTCTAAAAATTTAATATTTGGATCATGTGTTACATATCTTATAATATTCAATTGGTTAGAGATTTGCACATTTCGGAGATCTTCGTCTCCAAACAGCGATTGTGGGTATTAGAGGAGAATACCATATATGGAGGGGCATTTCTGAACCCCATGGTATAACTGTGTGGAGACAAAAATATTCACGGAGAACTATTGATAACCGTTGCAACAGTTAGGGGTCTCGAGTCTGCTTGAGCTTAAGTGATTTCTCTATATTATTCTTCTCTAGAGATAGATCATATCAAAACACCATGGTCATCTAACTTCTTAACTTAAGGTCTTTAATCCGCTGATGGAATGCACTAAACATCAAAACATAATTGGCAGCAGTTAAAAGTAAGCACGTGCACGAGTTCTACAAGTAAATTTATCCTAAAGGTGTGATATGCCATATTACCAAACAGAAGTGTTTCTCATTTTCTTTGAAGCGTCTGTATGTATTGTAGATATTTTCCTGTAAACTGCCACATCTACATGAACGACTGTATTTCCATGTAAGTATAACTGTTTATTTGTGATATTGCTTCGCTGCTTAGCTCCATATATACTACTCCGTATTGGAACCAAACTCAGCCGCAGCCCAAAAGACTCAATGAAGCGCCACCTATCTACGTATTTGCGCCAACAATTTGCTCTGTAAGGAAATAGTCATAGATGTAGATGTATTTACGCACTTATGTGTGTGGAAATTTGTTTGTGAATGCTCGAGGTTTCGGCAATTCAGTGCTGCTGCCCGAACCGCTCTCATTTTGCGGTGGAACAACGTCGGGCAAGTGATGGAGCTTTATGTTGTTTGCTTTGCGATTCGCAGTTGCTGTGAAATCCTAAATACTCACCCGCTATGTCTGCCCATACTGAGATCATTTTCGAATACATTGAATGACTAATCGACGAATGCTAACCACAAACGATTTGTGCGCACTGATGCGTTCAAAAGAAGAGTTTTTATAAACCAAATTGAAACCGGCAGTTTGTGCTTTCTAAATTTTTAGCGCTTTAAAAGCAAATAGTGGTGCTATCAATAGAACATGTTAAGTCACCGAAAAGGTAAATTTTGTTTTTTCAGTTTGGAACTACTTCTACAAGGCTAAATGTTGTTTCCTCCGTCCGTGCGGTCTCCGAGTCTTTTAATACAAAAACGAGTTTCCAGACTCGGTGTTTCGTTGTTTTCGAAAATAGTTCGAGGGGTAGAATTAAATCTCTCGTTCCAAAAACAAAAGTTATTTTGTCATTATACAGGTGTAAAATTCGCAAGTGAAAAGCTGTCAAAATGTCTATTAAGGTGGTAAGCCGGCTAAGGAATTTCGTCGGTATGAATGCAAGCGCGTTAACTCTGTAAATATGTAAAACGCAGTAGTTGGCGGTAGTGTATGGTAGTTGCGTGATAAGAATGTGGCTTCACTTGGATTGAGCTTAAATTGTGTATGTGATTATCGCTCAATTTGTATGGCAGCTATATGATTTAGTGATCTGATATATACAATTTCTGCGGAGAATACATTGTTGCCTTAGAAAATAACGCATGGCAAATTTCGTGATCGACCGTTCAGTTAATATGGCAGCTAAATGCTATAGTCATTCGATATATACAATTTCTTCGGAGATTGGATTATTGGCTTAAATAATAATCCATGC